TGTAACCAGCGAGTGGGATACATTTCTTCCCTCATCACAACTTTTCTGCTAACTTTTCTCCGAAATCTAGAAGACCAGCGTTAGTTTAACCTATATTATACATAATTTAAACCGAAAATAAGAAGAACGAATTTGAAATTGTTTGGAGTAATGACAGGTTAGCAGATTTATCTAATACAGGCTGATAAGTTACCGAATAATTCTTTATTTTCAACCGTTTCCTATAGGTGTTTTTAACCCTTTGACTGCGGCTGCCTTAAACGCGCGCGGAATTATTTTGCGAGCCATACACCCTATACGGCGAATCAGCAGTCAATGGGTTAATAAAAATAAAGACAAACAAATTTCACATGGAAAACTCTATCAAAACGTCATAAAACAACATAAATATAGACACGATCTGTTTCAGTATCGTTGAATGTTTAGTAAGAATATCAAGGTATCACAAACCTGCCAAAAATCAGCTGCCGTGTGAGGAAGAGGTCCTTGGGTCGCTATGTAAGCCGGATTTCGTGGATCATGGTCAGTCTGTTGGAGAGAATAGAAAAACGTGGTTTCAGATGAGAACAAACACGGAAGATAACGTGCGTATGAACGGTTGGAGGGGGGTGGGGGTGGAAACACCTCTTCAGCACAGATGAAGAATGGTTAGCTTTATCGTGTGCTTATAAAGATCGTCTGTTCATTTTCAGTAACTGACAAAAATCGTTGAAATTAAGTTATTTTATTCTAAAGAGAACACAAAATTCTATTGTTTACACACTCAACTCACACTTTTCGCTTACAACAAACGTTATTACGATTCTCGAACACACGAGAAACTGGATGCTATTCAGTGGCAGTAAACAGGCTAAGATTTACAACTGTTCTTGAAATCCAAGCCTGTATTTACGTTTTATAATGCGCACTTAGCCATTTCTTTCCATCAGTGGCGTAGTGAGGGTGTATGGCGCCCTCCACCCCCAAAACTCCACTCGCCCTTTACACACTTACTTAATTCCTAGCCTTACGTAGGACAACCCTACTACCACGATACTGTATCTCACCATACTGTCGTGGCTGCCATACGTACTGAAGTTATGGTTTTGAATCATACCTAATTAAGATCCCTGGCTTGTATAACAATATGTTACATATTAATATAACAATGCACCACAACTCCTCTGATTGGTATTATTATACCTAATTAAGATCCCTGGCTTGTATAACAATATGTTACATATTAATATAACAATGCACCACAACTCCTCTGATTGGTATTATTAT